TCGCAGGTGCGGCTTTCCATCAAGCCCAGCCAAGTCCGCTTCTGCGGACAAAAACCAGCTCCTGCGGTCACGCTTCTGTGGAGATTTGACCGCTCATGCGGATGCACATCAGTGCCCCCAACTCCGCATCTGTGGCCCTTTTTCCCAAGTCGTCCAGGATCACTTCTGCGACCATAACGCCGCACCTGCGGCCCTTTCTCGCATGTGCGATTGTACCAGACACCAGCTGCTTCAGCTCTTTCTTCAACTCCAAATTAGATCCGTTAACCACCCGGAATTCATCCAGGCCCCCGGACCTTAACCAAATATACCAACATCTCCCAAAACACATTACGAAGTTAGTCTAGCCTTCAAATCACATCAAACAATGCTAAAATCATGAATCGCACCCCAATTCAAGATTAATGATCTTTTGAACTTCCAACTTTTATATCCGATGCCTAGACCTATCAAATCACGTCCAATTGGCCTCAAATTTTGCACACAATTCACATTCGACATTACAGACCTACTCCAACTTCCGGAATCGGAATCCGACCTCGATACCAAAAAGTCCACTTCCGGTCAAACTTCTCAAAAGCCTTCAAATTTCTAACTTTCCCCAAATGACCCCGAATTGACCTACGGATCTCCAAATCCACATCCGAATGCGCTCCCAATACCAGAATCACCATACGGAGCTATTCACAGACTTAAAAATCCCAAATTTATAAAATACTTCCAAATTTAAATGCACTCCAACCCAAATTTATAAAATCCTTCCAAAATGCCAACTTTCACAATAGGCGCCGAAATGTTCCCGAGTCATCCAAAATCCGATCTGAACATACGTCCAAGTCCAAAATAATCATACGAACCTCTTGGAACCTTCAAATCTTGATTCAGAGGTCGTTTACTAAAAAAATACCCTTTAGTCAATTCCCCAACTTAAAGCATCCGAAATTAGAATTTTCTTTCCAAATCAACTCCGAACTTCCCGAAATTAAATTCCGACCACGCGTACAAGTCATAATACCTGAAGTGAAGCTGCTCAGGGTCTCAAACCGCTGAATGACACCATTGAACCTCATTCCTTCCACCTAGTTCCGCCCATATATTAGTGAATTTAAAATACACTAACAACTACTTGTAAATTAGTTGTACTTTTTCCCAATGGTGGAGCTACATAGGTCAAGGGAGGCCAGTTAAACACCTTTCGCTTAAGAATTGTACTGTGTATATAGGTCAAATATTACTTTGTATACATTATATTGAATGTGGAATACTCCTTAACATTCTTGACGAAATTCCTCGCTTTGCCATTATTTTCTCTTATCTTTTATTTTTTGCTGAAAAAAGGAGAGTCTATTATTTTAAAAGCATAGGAACAATTTAGTTATTATATAGCATAGGGATACACCGCATTGCGGTTTTTCCTAATTTGTCTTTAATAAAAACTGGTTAAATAAAAGCTAGAGGTGTTTCCCAGTACATAATGTTATCGTCCTCCGTTGATACATGTTGTCTGGTGCTTCCATACTTGGCCAAGGTATCTGCTACAGTGTTGCCTTCCCAGTATACATGTGTCATTTCTGCCACTCCAATAGCATCAAGAAGAAAACTGCAGTCATGAAGAAGATATGAGTAGCGAAGTTGTTTGTCTTTAAATAAGTTACATAATACCTGTGAATCTGTTTCCACTACAGTGGGAAAGACTCCCTTGGTTTCACACATGTGCTAGAAAATTCCAAATAAGTACATAAAAGATGTCTAAGAGTCTAGACCGCTTAATTTCCACAAATAAGCCCGAGTACGTACACGTCACCTTGCATACACGGCTTCCACATGACACAAATAGCACAAATGACTCAAGTCCTAAGGGGTAGATCCACCACATAAAGTTAGGCAAGATACTTACCTCAAAGAAGCTAGACCGATACTCTAAAATGACCTTCTCGTGTGAAACAACCTCCGGATGGCTCAAATCTAGCCTAAATAACTTAATATTACAAATAAAAACCATAGGAAACAATTATGGATAATAAAGCTTCGATCTTTAAGGAAAACTAAAAAGTCAACCCCGGGCCCGCACCTTGGAACCCGATAAAATTTATAAAATTTGAACCCATTATGATACGAGTCCAACCATGCCAAATTTATCCAATTCCGACATCAATTCGTCCTTCAAATCATCATTTTACATTTTTGAAAGTTTTCACAAATTTTTATTTTTCCCCAACTTAAACCACTAATTTAATAATTTATAAAAATAAAGATGGAATCATGAAATAAAATCATATACGGGTAAATAACAGTTATCCCAACCAACAAGTGAAGAACCCCAAAATAATCGCTCAAATCCGAGGTCTACAACTCAAGATATGATAAAAATAGTCAAACCCTCGGAATAGAATTCTTTATATTCTGCCCAGTGAATTATGCATTGCGATCGGATCATCCATTGCAATCGCGAAGAGCAAAACATTCAATTGCCAAAACGTGCTTTGCGAATGTGACATAAAGGTCGCGAACGCAGTGACCAAGATCTTCAGACTCTACACGAGCGCGTCTGTGCACTCGCGAATGCGAAGAGAAATAATGCATGATGCTCCTTCTAGCCTTACCTCTGCGCGATCGCGGACCACTGCATGCGAATGCGAAGACAAAAGTCTTCCAACCTTCGCGAACGCGTTCTCCTATTCGCGAACGCGAAGAAGCCGATGTTACCCCCAGAGTGGAAATTGATTCTATCATAGATGATGTGGGTGAACACTAGAGGGGTGAGGATATTCCCCCAATTACTACACCGCATGGTTCTACTATTCCTGCTCAGGCTGCACCAGTTCCTACACCTGATGAGGGTGCGACAAATCCTCCAACTGATATTCCGGTTCCACCTCCAGCCCCAGCTTCTGGTCCCGGTGTTTCTGATGGGGATCTTAGGGAAGCCATACAGATGTTGGCTCAGATAGTGGCTTCCCAGGCCTAGAGGTCGAATGTTACTCCCATTTCTTCTAGTCAGCAAGGGGACTCTATTGGTTCCAGGGTTAACAGGGTTCTTCAGTTAGATCCTCCAGTGTTCACGGGTACTGATCCCGAGAAGGATCCCCAGGATTTCATTGATGAGATGCACAAGACCCTCAGAGTTATGCGTGGTACTAAAATAGAGGGAGTGGAGTTGGCCTCCTACCACCTGAAAAGGGTGGCCTATTCTTGGCTTGAGATGTGGGAGGACTCCCGTGAGGAGGGGAGCCCTCCAGCGAGGTGGACTGAGTTTGCGGGCGCTTTCATGGATCATTTCTTGCCTGCCGAGACTAAGGCAGCCCGTGTCGTGGAGTTTGAGAACCTAAAACAGGGTAGCAATAGTGTGTCGGAGTACCATATGGAGTTCGTGCGCCTGTCCAAGTATGCTATTCACATGTTGCCCACTATGGAGGCTAGAGTGTGCAGGTTTGTGCAGGGCCTTAGCCCCTTGGTTATCAATGAGGCCGCTACAACTGCGTTGAATTATGACATGAACTATGGAAAGATGGTAGCATTTCCTCAAGCTACAGAGAACCGTAAGTTGAAGAACAAAATAGAGCGAGATGGTAGCAATAAGGCCCGGTCCGTGGGAAACTTTGGGAATTCATTTTGTGGCGGTAGGTCAGCATTCGGGGAAGGGTCATCAGGGCTATCCCCGTCTTTTGCTCAGTCTTCAGCTAGTGCACCACCATCAGGGCCAGTCAACAACAGTAGAGTCATTTCAGGCCCATGTAACATGACTCTCTTGGCTTCAATATTGTTGCTTCAATTCGTTGCTGCATCAAAAGTTTATGTAGAGCATCGCGTTAGTCAATGGCGAAAGCAAACTTTTTACCAAGGGGATTCAAAAAATTTTAAAAAGTAAATACCTAAAAACGTTAAGGAGATTCAATACCTTATATATTGTATTTTTTTAAATCTTATACGGTGTAATTTTCGGCGAAGGGGGTTCTGCCGAACCTCATTCCCGCCACCAAGTTCCGCTCCTGTATAGGGGAATTTAAAAGATACTACAGAACTGTCACACCTAGTATTTGTAAATGTAATAAAATAACTTTTAAACCTCTTTTACCACTATACTAAAATCTTCTCTCATGTCACAAGGATTCAATAGTATATAGCCAGAAAAAAAATAATTTATTCCGTATTTGCACAATACAATTATTCGGCGAAGGGGATACCGTCTCGTGATATCCCTTTAGCTCCGCCATTAGTATTCGTTATAGGTTAATCTAAATTATAGGAGGAAAGAAAAAAAAAAAACAAAAGAGAATACAAAATTCTTTTATTTTAAATAACTTTTCGAGAAATGTTAAAGTAAAAATAACTACTAATAGATGGAGGAAGTAAATAGACTTTGGGTCAGTGGAGCAGGTGGCTCAGAGTACATCTCCATTGAATTCGTATCAACTCGTAATTAACATCCCATATCCGCCCTCTCTGTGATCTTCATATTAAAGGTCTTGGTTTCGATTCGAGTCTTGAATATAGAAAACTTCTTGATAAGAATCGTTTTGTCCTTAGTAAACTTACCCGACGTCAATCCAAATTTTTTAATGACGTGATATTTTGCCGCAAAAATTACATGCATTAAAACTTTTTCTTTTTCTAGAGAACCTCAAATCGACACCAGGGCTCGATCTTTTCGTCACAAATCAGAAGTAGTAGTAGATGCACGAATCCAATTGAACCCAATATTCTCGATTTTGAGCATAGTTAAAAATATGTTAAATCATAAAAGTTACTAAATTTTGGACCAATAATTTCAGAAATGTAATGGTGCAATGAAAACCTAAAGTCTGAAAATAATTAATCAGATTTAAATTCTGAATCCGCCTCTAATTAGAAGTCTTTGAATACATTAGTTATGTGTATATTTAACTCTTGTATGTCTTGTGCAAATTTTATATTTTAAGGAAGCTATGACCAAAGACAGAAGGGGAGGTTTTTTTTCCAGGAAATGAGAAAGAACACTAAGGAAATATATTATCACGCAATTGTGTAACAAACATATTAGATAATGGCTTTTATTCATACTTAATACAGCAAGCTCTGAAGTAGAAAGAGCATTACTATTACAGCTTTGCCATTACAAAGGTTTTATATATTACACGATGATCAGTGTTGAGGCTTCCCTTCAGTCACTTTATCCATGGCCTCACCTTTGTAGTAGCAACACCTGCTGCAGCCGTAGTAATTGCGGCGGCCGCAACAACCATAGCGGCAGTATCCTCCACGTCCACCACCACCGCGGCCACCTCCTGGGTATCCACGTCCACGGCCACCACCGGGGTATCCGCGGCCTGGGTATCCGCCGCCAGGGTATCCACCGCCGGGGTAGCCACCACCTGGGTATCCACCGCCAGGGTAGCCACCACCTGGGTATCCACCGCCAGGGTAACCACCGCCGGGGTAGCCACCACCGGGGTATCCGCCACCAAGTTGATCTTCACGCACTTCATTCTTGTTATCAGATTTCTTTGCTGCATCAATTGTGTNCACGTCCACCACCGCGGCCGCCACCTGGGTATCCACCACGGCCGCCACCAGGGTATCCACCGCCACCACGGCCGCCACCAGGGTATCCGCCGCCAGGGTATCCACCGCCAGGGTAGCCACCACCGGGGTATCCGCCACCATATTGAGCTTCATGCACTTCATTCTTGTTATCGGATTTCTTTGCTGCATCAATTGTGTGAAAAAAGGTATGTTATTTTTATTAGCTGTTTTATTCTTGTACTAACTCTAAACTAGCAAAGGACAGCCCGGTGTATAAGGCATCGACATTCACGCAGAATCCGGAGAAGGGTCGCACCCCAAGGATGTGACGTAGACAGCCTATCCTAGTGCAAGTATTCGCGGCTGCTTTCACGGTTCGAACCCGTGATTTATAGGTCAAAGGGACAACTTCACCTTCTCTTTCAACTCTAAACTAGAAAATTAACACAATTTTGCCGTAATCCATAATCTTACAAGTTTAATTTCTACACGTCGATGGTGAAATTGTTTTGTAGTATTAGGTCGAATGCAGATCAGATCACATAAGATTCTTTTATACTGTTAAATCCTTTACTTATATGTAATTTTTCGTGATACAAGCACATTTATAATATTTGCTATGTTAAGGTCAAATGAAATACTATAAAACTTGCTAAGATTCATGATCAAGCTAGCATTAGGAACACCAGACGTGTAACTCTAAGGGGTCGTTTGATAGGGTGTATTAGGAAAAATAATACATGTATTAACTTTAGTACTGTTAATTTCTTGCTCTGTAGTGTTTTTTAACTTATATTTATATTAGTTATACACCATATTCAGTATTATTCGTATATATAACAAAAATCATAGCATTAGCAATACCATAGTCTTTAATACATAGATAAGCATGTATAAAGACAGAATTGTCATTTCAAAACCTTTAATATACCAAATCAAACAACCACAAAAAATAATCCTAACATAACTAATCTCAGCATTACTGATACACAATATTTAGTACTATTCTTATACACCTTACCAAACGAAACCTAAGTACTTGCTTTAGAGGAAATAATACCTTTACTACAAGTTGCACGTACGTTAACCACTAATTTGAAAGGTTAAATAATTATACAGATAATAATAGGGAGAAAATAATGAGAGGGTTCTTACAGTCCTCTTCTGAAGTGGTGGAAGTCTCAGACAACTCCCTAGCTAAAACCTCAGAGCTTATCATTATAAAAATGGCCAAACAAAGGCCAAGAAACAGAAATGCCTTGGAACCCATTTTTCTTTTTTGTAGCCAAGCTTAGTTATGATACTTTGAAATTTAAGGATGGAGAAACTGATGCATAATTGGTCTCTATTTATAGTAAGAATTGAATGCATTTCAGATAAAAGAGAAGGACATTATTTGGAGGTGTGAGGGGACAAAACAAAGGGGTGCATTTATGGAGTATATGGACCAGTATTTAGTTGGGAAGTGAAGAGAGTAATGAATAGTCTTGATTTCACAATTGAGTTGGACAAAAATTATTAGTAGGATATTACTCGTTATGTACACCATATATGAAAGTATAATATTGTTTCCTTTTGGATATAAGTTAGATACACGAGTAAAGAGCTGTGATTTGATCTGTTATAGAATATTATTTATCATTTAATTTGGATTCCTTTTGAATATAAGTTAGACACACTGTAAATAACTCTAATTTGATCTATTATAGAATGTTATTATCATTTAATTTGGATTACGAATCAATACTTATTATATATATAAATAACTTGCTATTACTTATTAAATGATCTGATCTACTAGTGGCAAAATTCGTTACACCGACATTGCATAAAAGTAAACACATTCGATTTTTTAAAATTAAAGTAACATGCAAATATGCAATAACATATAAATGTTTAGATAAAATTTTGGCAGAATACATTAATTGGAGACCCACAGAAGTTGTCAAAGTTTTATTTGTATACGTTATCTAGGAGTTCAACCTATTAATTAATAAACACCAGAAGTTTAGAGAAAACATGCCTACTAAACAACTCTTGCAATTTTGACAAGGTTAGAAGGCCGTCTATAAATTAGATCAATACGCTAAAATGCACAGATATGGTATATGTTTTACGGGAGAAAATCAAAAATAGTCATATTTACAAGTGGTCATTCAAAAATAGTCACAGTTTCAATATTAATCGAAATTAGTCACTTTTCATGTAAAGATAAATTTGAACGAAAATACAGTTCAAAATACGGAAAAATACTCCAGCATAATATACTGGAATTCCAGTATAAGTATATTGGAACTCCAACATATTATACTGGAGTTCCAGCATAAGTATACTGGACTTCCAACATATTATGCTAGAGTTCCAGCATAAATATATTGGACTTCCAGCATAATATACTGGGGTTCCAGTATAATATACCGGTCTAGCATAATATGCTGGAAGTTCATACACAGGTGCACCGATCTCCAGTATATTATGCTGGAACTTTCCGTGTTGTAACAAAATAGTAACTATTTTTCAATGACTTTGCAAATGCTGGTTATTTTTGAACGACCAGTTCGAAATCAGGCTAGCCCGTGCTATTTTTACAATTTTTACAGTATATATAAGTTAAATCATGTGTAATCAGATACTCAGAAGCCCAAGTCTGCTTTACCACTGTTCTCTTTCAAAATTCTAGGCCTCCCTATGTCCAAACTATTTGTTAAGTCGGATTGAACGCTAGCTTACTTGGTGAATTCTCTATTTTTCACACTTGAGATAAAAAGTTCAAACTCTGTCAGTAACGTAGCATTCCTTTCGGCTTTCCTTCTCCCCTATACTAATACATTAAATTTTTTATTTAAAAAAACTACAGGTTGGGTCTCTATTAGGGCCTGCCGCTTGCCAAATTGCAAATTAGATAATTAAGAATCCGTGGATCGGATATACTCCTAAATATAATATGAGACTATGAATTGTATGGGATCTGATTTAGACGCACCGACGTATAGCCTGTTTGGCGAATCTTCTAAAATCAACTTATTTTGTGAAGTATTTTTTTCAAAAGTACTTTTTAAAAAAGTGCTTTTGGTGAGAAGCAGTTTATATTTCGCTAATTAATTTGAAAAACACTTTTGAGTAGTAATTAGTCTTTGACCAATCTTTTGAAAACTGCTTCTAAGTTTATTTTTCTCAAAAGTACTTCTCAGAAAAGTATTTTTGGAGAGAAGCTACTTTTTTCTGCTTCTTAAAAACTGCTTCTGTTTCTCCTCAAAAATAATTTTTTTCCTTCTAAAAGTTTGGCCAAACACCTCAATTTTTGGTCAAAAGTACTTTTGGCGAAAAAAAATATTTTTGGCCCAAAAACAAACTTGGCCAAACAGGCTAGTAGTCTCTGGATCCACCACTGCATGGTGAATTAACATATAATATAAACCTTTTTAGTTTGGTAAATTATTATCTTGATAATACTTAGATAAAAGTTTTCATTCTTTAGTTTTAGGTGGCTGAGGGAAAGTATATCCTAACCTAGCTAGTATTACAAAGGTCTCCAATTTGAGACATGAAATATAATTGTGTTTGATACTGAATACTTTACTTCCAAAATAAAGATACAAATGCAAATCTAAATTAATCGGACCTAAAAAAAAAAAAACGCACACTAAATGAGTCAAAAAAGCCACGTACATATTGTTGCTGCCCGACGAATTAAAAGCATGGGACAGATTTGTCAGTTGACTTAGCAAAGTTTTCTTAGACCCACCACCCAACCACTTGTCATTAATACCCAAGTTACAAAATAAAAAACATTCTTTTAGAGAAATGTGATAAGAATTTGAACCCCATATTTGTATTCCTTCGGCCTCAAATTATATGTCGTGATTTCTAAAAATAATTATTTTAAATGATTTGTCATTATAGAAATTTAGGATAAAATTAATTATTTTTTTACATTTTACCCTTAATATTAATTATTCTTGAAGAAGGAGATGAACATAAATAGAATAAATATTTAATAAAAATAGATTATATTTTAAGATATAGATAAGGGTAAAATAATTCAAAATTCCTTCTAATTAATGTTTTAGGTTTGTAAAAGAGAAACATGATAAATAATTTGAGATGAAGTGAGTAGTAAAGTAAAACTCTGTATTCAATATAAAAAACCCTTCAATTCATACGTATCATATGTTTTATTGTGTAAATAAATTGCTAGCACTAGTGAATCAACACTTCTATGAAAACAATGTAAGATGCTCTTAAAGTAATATATTGAGGAGACACTAAATAACTCTAAGACACTAGGTTAGGTTTTTTCATGGAAAAAAAAATTTAAATGAAAGACAAAAGATGTTTGCTGATAGATAAATGCAAATATAGCATGATATGTTCAATTCTGAACCACATATGCATCGCCCCTCAAGAAAAATGCAACAGTTATTTAATTAATAGAGAGAACCACCAAAGATTGTGATGGTACGGGAACTATTCCTTCCTCTTTAGCTAGAGGTTTCATGTTCGAGCATGGCCGGATGGATGTAGTGTACTAGTAACGAATTCAATTGAACCCATAAATTTCGACCCGAAATAAAATTTATGTGTAAAAGTTCATTAAAATTATAAAAGTAGTCGATATGAACCTATGACTTTAAAAATATAATGCGTTCAACGCTAAAACCTTAAGGGTTCGTTTGGTTGCCGGTTAGAGTTATGCAGGTATTAGTTATGCATGTATTAATTATGTATCTATTAGTTATGCAGGAATAAGTAATGCAGGGATTAGTTATGCATGTATTAGTTATGCAGGGATAAGTTATGCAAGGTTGAGTTATGTTGGGATTAGTTATGCGATAGTTATATAAGGATTAGTAATATAAATGTAATGTGAGTGTTATTTATTATTAGCTTACTTTATTTTATTAAAATTGTTAGTATAGTTTAAATATATATTTTTAAACAAAAAAATACAAGTTTGAATAAAGGGTATTCTTGTCATTTTATGTTTTAATACAAGTATTATTAATACATGTATAAGTTATTCACCTTCTACCCTGCATAAATAATACATAGATTACCTCATAACTTATAGATGTATTAGTTATGCGGAAAAGAAAAATATGAACCAAACATTGTATTAGCAATGCTACATTTTATGTGAAAAAGAGAAAAAAACAATCAAACATTGTATAACTTATGCTAGCTTCTATGTGGAGATTATTTTTTCTCCTTCTTTTAACCAAACAATATATAAAGTTATCCTAATTTTAATAAATGGATAGCTTGTTTGAACTCCAATATTTTAGGCCCAACAAAACGAATACCATTTTGTGACGTCAGGTGGGCATGTGAAGACCCACAAGTTCATCTCAACTTTATGGCATATGGCATACGTCAGTTGTAACAATTCGGCCGGTCGTTTTGAGTATTACAGCCTCGTTTTCCCATTTACTGCTCCATTTGTACTTTATAGTTGTATTATGACCTATCAGATTAGTTAGTTCGGGTTCGGAGAGATTTCGGAATAAATTGAGACACATAGTCTCGTAATTGAAAACTTAAGTTGGAAAAGTTAACCGAATATTGACGTATGTGTAAACGACCTCGAATTTGAATTATTATGATTCCAATAGCTCAGTATGGTGATTTTAGACTTAGGAGCGCGTCCGAAAAATTATTTGGAGGTCCGTAGTAGAATTAGGCTTGAAATGGCGAAAGTCGAATTTTTGAAAAGTTTGACCGGGGGATTGTCTTTTTGATATCAGGGTCGAAATATGATTCTGAAAATTGAAATAGCTTCGTTATGTCATTTATGACTTGTGTACAAAATTTAAAGTCATTCCGGATTGAATTGATGTGTTTTGGCACAAGATATAGAATTTGAAAGTTTCAAAGTTCATTAGGCTTGAATTGGGGTATGATTCATGGTTTTAGCGTTGTTTGAGGTGATTTGAGGGTTCGACTAAGTTCGTATGATGTTTTAGGACTTGTTGGTATGTTTGGTTGAGGTCCCGGGGGCCTCGGGTGAGTTTCGGATGGTTAACGGATCAAATTCGCACTTAAAACCAGTGCTGGAATTTTTGCTTTTGGTATTTTTGCACCTGTAGAGGTTTGATCACAGGTGCGAAGCCGCATGTGCGCACCAGCCATCGCATAAGCGACTAGACGTGAAGAGGGGCAGTGGTCACAGGTGCGAAAAGGAAAGCGCAGAAGCGGAGGGAGCATTTTGGGCGATCGCAGATGCGGATATTTCGTCGCACCCGCGAGACCGCAGATATGGCTAACTGGTCGCAGGTGCGACAAGCCCTGGACAGAATAAAATTGGAGGAGTTCCGAGCTTTTGCTAT